ATATCTAATTCTACAGTCAATTCATGTTATGGGACAGAGAGAAATGCTTTTATAGCCTTTTAAAATAATTGTGAAAATTTTTCTTTGATCTTACATCAAAACCCAACAATTTCTAGTTAAAGGTTTATTATAACGTAGAATCGAAATGGAAGTCCACATTTCACACAATAATATCCATGTGAATGTTTGTTGGTTTTGGGTGTACCTAAGTGGAACTGATACCCCCCAAATTTTGTAATATCACATATTAGTAACTTGTACATTATTAACCCACTGAACAAAACATTTCTTCCAAATTTTGACACATTGGTTATATGATATGATTTTAGAGGTACATTTGATAATATCTTCATAAGACTCAGCAAAAAGCTGAAAATGCTAATTTCTGTGAAAGACTGAATTTTGTCATTAGCAACATGGAGTCAAATGTTTTCCTTTTAAACTTAGCTCATTGTATTCATGACAGAAGAAATGTGTCCCAAATTTACAAGTCTGAATGTGCAATGTGTTTATTTGGTTCTTTCATGTAAAGCGGTGTTTGTAGCATTTTTTAGTTCATCTTTGCATTATAAGTATGGATTATACATTTGGTAAAGAACAGAAACACATCACACCTATTCCCTATGTTGTCACTCAGAGCATGAAACAATTTTTAATATAGTGAAGATTTAATCAAACTTATCATTTCTATTACTTCTATAAAGATATTCTTAAGTGAACCTGCCTTTCATTTTTACAACCTTACTGGTACTACTTTGTTTATGCTAAATTACCAGAAGTTTCTCCCATGATAGATTTTGTCCTATCCACAAAATTCAACCCAGTGTATACAGCAGGTGATATCTTACTTTTTTAAATTAAAACAATAGTTTGGCTTCATGAATCCCTAAAAGAATACAATAGTCTGAGAAGTGCTGAGAACCACTGGCATAGAGAATAATTTTATTTAATATTATTATTTTCATGTGATTCTAAAATTTTGGAGTTATGTGAAAGTAGACACATTATTTCATCCAATATTTTTTATTATTCATTAAAAATATGCCTATAATTTTAAGATACACCATCCAATTTGACCTCTATGAGACACACATTATAGCAGTCTACGTTAGTTACTATAATGTAGTAATATCTTATAAAAAGAACACTTAGTGTAGGTACTATTTATCCAAAAGTTAGACTCCATCCTAATCAAAGACAGGGATGTAATTAAAATTCAAATCAGCAGTTAACAGAAAGTTATTCCTGATAATTCAGTAGAAAGACTTGAAGCTGCCAAGTACAGTTTCAAAGCCAGCAGAGTGAATTATGTGTAACTTAATACTAGCGGATTAAGAATCTCATATATATGATTGTCCATGGCAACCTGAAAATCACTTCATTTAATTTTTTTTACAAATAGCAACATAAAATAGCCTTTTAAAAACTTTAGAGTCATCTACAATTAAGTTTTCCTCCTAAAAATGTCAAGCATGATACTATTACAGTAGAGCATGGGACACAAGATGGAGCCCAATATCTTGAGGTCAAATCCCAATGAGGGCCACCTTTAAGAGGGACAGCATCTATAAAATGGGATAGTAATAGTATTTCCCACATAGTATTAGCAGTTATCATTATTATTACTATTGCTTGCAGCAAAATAATGTTTGTGAAAGACAAATTAATTAATGCATGTGAAGTTCTCAGAACAATGCCAGGGTGGAAGTAATAAACAATTTTATTTCATGTTTTAAAAAAAGTGAATAGATTAAAAATATTACTAGGTATCTCCTGTCTACTTTTTTAGGTCCTCTCAGCCTTAAATTGCCTGAGTTATTTTATAACTTAAAATTATATAAAACTAGTAGTAATGCAAAATGTTCCTGAGAGGTAGAAAACTGACTATTGCCCTTTGGGTATTGACTAATTTTATAAATATGCATAAATGGACTTCAGCCTCGCTGTCTACTTGTCTGTTCATTGAAATGTCTTCCTGATTCCCTAATTGACACCTTGCAAAATATTTGAGAAGAGTTCATTGTTTATTTGTATGATTGATGTGATTTTAATGTTTTAAAATTGTATTTTAGCACATTACTATTACAGAAATATGATATTAATTAAAGAGGAAAACACACTATGTGGCAAATTAATGTACCTTTGGAAGATGGTGGGACCAGGTTGTGTGGCTTATTGGCGACAGCCCTGGAAGTCCTCAGAGATCAACATGTTAATAACACTGAGCTTTCAAATCAGAAGTAATGGAGCTATTTTTTCACCACTGAAAAAAGATAAAAAAGAAAATACATTATTTTTTAAATCAACTATGGCTAAATATTTTAGCTTAGTTATCCAGAATATTTACTTCCATAGAGTATCTCACTTCCTGACAAAACTACATATATAAAACGTTCTCTGCAAAATATCTAAAAAATATTTCTCTCCTCCTGCTCTATCACAGTAATTTAAGTTGATTCCCTGAGCGTTCTGTCTCAGGTTATAATTCTGGAACTGGAAGCAATAAGTCCTCAGTTTTTCCCTCCCACTCTTTTTCTACAGTTGGCCTAAAAACTCACAGAACTACCATATTGAGTTTTTACTCCATTGTAATATGAAATCTCATTTTGCATTTAAAAAATGATGCTTCACTTCATACACAATTTAAAACCAAATTATTAAGAATGCTTAAATATTTTTGCTTTTGAGAGATATCTTTTATTGTTCCTTTTTAATATTGACCTATATTTAAAAATAGTAGCATGATAAAACTAGGAATTCATAGTTCAGCCATTTTGGGGTTGTCATGATTTAGCCAGAGAAGGACTAAATCCACATTACCTTTATGTAGATATTCACTTCGGAAAACGGCATATGGACTATGCTTAGCATGAAACAGTTCAAAATGTCATGTCCATTTACACATGACCCTTGTGATAACAACAGTTTACTTATTTACTAATTTATGATAGCTACTTGAAAGTTTAAGATAGTCAAAAGTCCCAGGATATACTAAATGTAAAATCAAAATAGTCTTTCTCATAAGCAAATAAAACTATTGTGTATTCCCATGAATGTATAGAATGGAAATAAATTTTTAATCCTAAAGTATCTGAATAATACTTAATTTGTGCAAATCCACTGAACACATCAAATTTTCTGTTTTATAGCAAAGTTAGCATATGTTTTGTTTTTTGGTTACTGTTTTATTCCAAGAAGCTCTTCAATTATGCCTTCCCATCAACACGGTAGAATCAGGCTGCAAATTTAAGTGGGGAGTTTTGTCAACCACATTTCTCCAATACCATAAAACAGGAATCAGTAATATAGAGTTGTACCTTCATGCCAAATTCCTGACATGCAACTGTATAAAGAAAAGTACAAGTAAAACCTTCTGGAAAACTCTTGTTTAACATTCATAACATTTAGCATTCCCCAAATGACCAGTATCTTCATACATTATTATATACAGTAGATTAGCTCAATATATTCAAATCTTCTCTCATCTTGGATCACTTGGACTAGTCAAAAGACTACGAATTAAGCAAACTCAGTAACGTCTATTTAGTACCAAAACAAACAAACAAATACACCAAAAAATACAACAATAAGGATGCAGAGAGGAGAGAACAAGAAAGGAATCCTTATTTATAAAACACTAACAAAATAATGTGGGCCTTTTATTGAATTATAAAACCCTCCCCCAAACAAAACCTTAGTTTTGATCACACTCTAATCTAATCATAAATTATTCAGGCTTGTTGCCAGTTAAATGTCCATTTCCATGTGTGGATCTTACAGGGAAGAGTGACCTGTTTGAAGAAACAGGCAGAGGAGAGTAGCTATAGGCAGTATGAGGCAGAAAGAACCTCATAACATCCTGAGATGGAAATTCAAGGTTAAGAAGAGAACCCTGTGCTGTTTCCACAAGCTCACTCATGTGGTTTTGGGTACTTGAACACTTCTTCATTCATATCATCTTTTCTTTAATAATGCTTTAACCACTGGATTTATTTAAATTTGACAAGCAAGCTTTGGTGAATTTTTTTTATGAGTAAGCAAAATGATGTCCGCTTCTTTTCCACTTTACACAAATAACATTTAGAACCTTTAAGAAGGAAAGAGTTGTCTTTTAAAATGTAAATTAAAATTATTCCAAGACTAGGAACAATAGGGGGGTCCTTATGTTTATTACTTTCAGTAATAACTTGGTACTATATTTAAAACCAAAACAAATCTCCTATGCCTTAGGTGCCTCAAGGAGGAAATATCATTTTCCCTGAATTCTCTCTGGTTTCTGATGAGTAAAAAATGCATAATTTAGTTAAATGTAAATCTAACAATTTTATTTTAAAAAGTATGATTTATTTATAAGATTTGTACCTTCATGCCAAATCCCTGGCATTCAACTATATAAGGGAAAGTACAAGTAAAACCTTCTGAAAAACTCTCGTTTGACCTGCGTAACATTTAGCATTTCCAAAGTAATATTATTGGGGCTGGGATTGTGGCTCAGCAGTAGAGTGTTCACCTAGCATGTGCGAGGCCCTCGGCTAATTCTTAGCACCATATAAAAATGAATAAAATAAAGGCATTGTGTCCAACTACAACTAAAAAACAAGTATTTTTTTAAAAAGTAATATTATACTTGATTCTTATATGAAATTTGTTTTTCATTAACCATATTCCTTATGTTTCTTTTGAAAATAGGAAAATGAGCAGTGAGTAAAATGAGATCTTCTACAACGTTTTGAGGTTTGATTACACTAAGCCCCTCTCAAGAAAGTTTTCATTAATGCTGTAAATTCTGTGTGACTCCCTTTAAGCCAACTGCTATAGCTATGGCAGTAAGAAATACAAATAGCAGTAAGCAGGTTTTTTAAAATGTGATGTTAACTTTGGCAAGTTGCCTTTGACTTTTTCTGATCATGTCCCAGAAGCAGAAATCTCACTCTGCCCCAGCAAAATATTTTATTCATGAATTCAAAGATGGGAAGATCAAAAGGGGGTATAATTCAATTCAATGTGTTTAAGTGGACAGGAAGGATATTCTTTTATTCAAATAACAAGAACATTGAATCCAGAAAAGCTGTAGCACTTCCTTCTTAGGGAAGGGTACAATTTGACTGTATAAATTGTTTTGAAATTGTCTTCACCAACTTATTAATAGATCCAAAAATCAATCTAAAAATGAAGTAATTAGCCCAGCCTTTTGTCTAAAAAGGTAAAAAGGGGTATTTGATTAACTACAGCCAATGAACATAAAGAACCATCTTATGGGATTTTGTTTCGCTGAACATCTTGGGCAGGGTTGGTGAGATGCCACTTCTCAAGCTCTGTGAACTGACAGAAGAAAGACATTTCATTCACACAGTGACAAAAAGTCCAATCAGCTTGCTTATCAAAGGCCAGGGGGACTATCTTCCTGAGCACCTCTTGGGTACCAAAGAAAAGAGATGGTAAGTTTTCTAGAAAAGTACCTGCATCACTGGTATTTTGACAAGACTGGGACCAATCATAGGGTATTTCCTTGCTCACAAATGAAGTTTTTGTTTTAGTGGTATACATCAATGCCTGGTCATATGATGAGAAAACATTTTATAGTTTTTAGAAATAGTTGGACACAATGCCTTTATTTTATTTATTTTATTTGTATGTGGTGTGGAGGATCAAACTCCATGACTCACTTGTGCAAGGTAAGTTGCTCTTCCACTGAGCTCCAACCCCAGACCAACATGAATTACAATAAAAATCAAATGACAGAATATGGGAGAGTATAATTCTATTAGAGTGGGACATTCGGGATACATGGGAATCAAGACAAATATAGGACTCCAAGGAAAATGTGGATGCTCCACAGCAGCCTGCCTGATATTTGGTACACTGGCAATTCCCAGAAGAGTCCCTTAAACATCAACATCTGGCTTTCCAGCCTTAGTGAGTAGGGGGCTCTTTGAGACTCTCAGGGTTCTTAGCCTGCTCTGTGCAACAGTGTCAACTGGACAGTGTTTTCATGTCTGTCTCTTTCCTGAACCAATTAAATCCGTGTTCTTAGTGTAGGCCCAACACAGACATTGTTTAAATGTTGCCACAAGAGATTCTAACATCATAGTAAGGCCTGCCAGTCGCCAATTCAGGGAGAAATGAGAGATTTGCAAAGTAAAAAGGGAGATCTAGGATGCATCACATTTAGGGAATGAATATGAAAGTACATCCTTTCTCACTACCTCCTGGCCTGGCCTGCCTTCTAGATTCTGTGTGTGAGTGCCACCTAGATGGTTCTCACTGTGAAATGTTCTGACTGAAGGCAGGACGTGTGCATTATGACTGTGCCTTCCTGTGCTTCTTGTCCCGTTTTCTGCTGATCAAATCCAGGATGTTACAGCACAAATCAACACCCACTTCCCTCTCACAATACAGGCCATTGTCTTACCAACAGCAAACTTCACCTGAAGAAAGCAGGCTACAGTGGTATAAACCTGGACCCCAAGATCTTAAGTAAGCTTGACTTGGTAGATAGTTCTTTGGAGCTACTAAACCCAGGAAATTGGATTAACTGAATTCTTATCTCTCAGCTTGCTGATCTCATCCTTAGAAATAGGAAGTTGAGTTTCAAGGTGGGTGGTGAGTGACAGGGATGCTCTAATGGTTTGTGCAAGCAAAAGAGGAGGGCTTCTGGCACGTGTTGCCCTTTAGAGGGTAAGTATGTTGAAGAAAGAGGAAAAGACTGAGGAATGGTCCCTGGGTCAATGGATCAGAGTGGCCGAGACAAAAGTGTAACAGGTAATGACTTTATTAAATTATTTGGTTTTAAATAACTACAGATTTCCATAAACTAAAAAACAACAAAAAAAAACCCAAAGAACCCTTAAAAATTCCCTAAAAAAAAAAGGCCTGGAAAAAAAGAACCCGAACAAGAAAATAAAAAAAAATCAAACCCCCCGCAAACCGGGGGGGGGGGGCCTGGGCAATTAACCCCTTTAACCTGGTAAAACCGGGGAAAACCTGCATCCCCCAAAACCGTCAAAACACAGGAAAGTTCTATTACTACAGGATCCTTTGTCCTGCCCCTTCATGACTACACTTAAACTCTCTCCTCTGCAAGTAGACACTCCTAATTCCAGGAAACCACTAATCAAGCTGTTCTCTGTTTCTAAAGTTGTGCAATTTCAAGAATGTTATATTCTAAATTCATCTAATATAGAACCTCTTGGGAGTAGCTTTTTCCAGGTTTCACAATTCCCTAGAAATTCATCCAATCAAACCATTGCATGAGTTAATACT